CTTTCTTCAACAGTTTACCTACTGCCAGAAGAGGGTGCACAACCGATGAAATCAAGAACACTTCTTCAACCTTCACAATGTTTCCTTGAATATCCCGAAACTCAACTTCAATAATCCTTTGGTCTGAAACCTTAATTCGGGATCCTTGCGCATCTCGCAAAACTACCTTGGTAGTGTTGGGTGCTTTCCTTCCGTACTTCTTCATCCACATTGGTGCCAACGAAATGTCGGCTCCTGAATCCAGCACAACCTCGATCTCTCGAGTTCTCGTGTTCCTCGCTGCACGCGCAAACCTAGTAATGGTCCTTGAGGGTGCTGTTCTCTCTACTCTGTTCCTTCTAGGAGGATGGTGACATCCGTTCTCACATTCCTGCATGTCTGGGTGCCACGGTGTTTCATGACATCCATTGGGACACTCAAAGTAGTATCCACGGTCCTGAGTTCCTATCGGAGTTCCTTCTAGGTGCCATTGCAACCATGCATCATCACTCACCTCATCACAGTCCTGAAACTCATCATCTTCATCACCAATCCAAAACTCTTCTGTCTCACTTCTCTCTTCCTGAACTTCTTCACCAACAACCCGCAAAACTCTTCCGAAGTACTCAATCTCTATCTCATCAGAGTTCTCACTCATCTCGAATTCCTCCGGAAAGCTTGTGGGCTCGTCTCCCATGTGGTACATGGAGACCATCCTAATCACTGGTCTTTGGGTTCCTTGGCTTGCTTGGCTTTGGCTTGTTGAGGTCTTGTTGGCTGACGAAGGGGCCTGAGTCGAAGTACCTGTAGTGCTCGCTTGCTCGCTCTGGTTTTCAAGGTCAACGTTCCTTGCCTGATAACCCATGTCACGCATCTTCTGCCTACACTGTGCTTCGAAATGTCCATACTTATGGCAGTAGTGACACACTCCTGTAGCTGCTTGGGCTTTTCCTTTACCTTTTCCTTTGTGTCTGAAGAAACCTCTTCCTCGACCTTTGCCTTTTCCTTTGTAACCTCTGAAACCTCTACCTCGGCCTTTCCAGTTGCCTCGACCTCTGCCTTTGCCAAAACCTCCGAAACCTTTACCTTTACCTTTGCCTTTGCTGTCAAAGCCGAAACCTTTTCCGAAGTCCTTTCCACCTTTCTTGCCTTTTCCTTTACCTTTGCCTTTATGGTGAACATAACCTTTGCCATAGCCTTTCTTTCCTTTGTACCATGCTTGGTTGATATCCATTGCTGCAAGACCACCATGGTCATCACCTTTGTCGATCAAGTCTGTTGTGGTTCGGTGAGGTGTTCCTTGCTGGGCTGCTAAAGAGTTAGTCCAACGCTCGGTTGACTCATAGTTCACAAGGTACTGACGAAGAGTATTGTACTGTGTCTTCTCATCCATGTTGAGCAACAAGTGCCTTTTCACGTCAGGTTTCATACCTTGGATAAGAGTAGATACTTTCAAATTCTCCTGTACCTTTTCTCCAGTCGCCTTCTCGTACTTCTCGATGTGTTCCTCATATTCGAGGATATTCTCAGCAATTCCTTTGTTGTGAGCAAATTTGTAGTTGAGAATGTTGTGAAACAACTCCAACGATCTCGCACGATTCGTTGGTTGATATTCCTTGAGTAGCATACGGTAAGCTTCCATACCGTTTTCCTCAGCTACATGCTTTACAACTCGGTACGGCCTTCCTTTAGTGTACGAACAAAGAACACTGTACAGGCGTCGGCTTGTTTCCTTTGCTTCTGCAGACATCTCAGCCATCTTCACTTGTTTATCATCTTTTAGGTTCCTTTCTGCGATGTCCATGATCTTCACCATGTTGGAATCCACTGCTCCAAGCCAGATCCGAATCCTGTTCCTGAACTCTGTCCATCCACTCTTCTCTTCTTGCCATGTTCCTGGGGAAAATGCTTCGGGGCTTTTAATCAGCTTGTGCAACTCCACTTCTCCAGGCTTTCTTTGTTCCTTTACTGCTTTCTCCAGAGATGCTCCTATCTCCTCAAGTGTCGTTGCTGCGTTCGTGTGAGCGTCTGCTAACGCTGTTTGTGCTGTCTTCTGTTGTTCCTGAACTGCTGTCAGGGTTTCCTGGAATGCTTGTGTGAGTCCTGCTTCTCTTTGACTTCCTGAAGCTGCTGAGTTCCTGATCTCCTCTGCTAGTGTCTGTATTCCTTGTAAGGTCTGTGCATTGATCTCGGCAAGTGCCTTCAATGCATCCTCCATTCCTTTTGCTGCTTCAAGGTTGCTGTACACTAGTGCTGCTAAAAGTAGTGACTTGCACTGTTTCCTGCTCACTGCTTGTGCTCTCCTTTCTCCTCTTGTCTTCCTTTGGTGCTTCGAGCGGTTGCTTGCTCTTGCGAAAAACAAACTAGAATAGTACGACAGGGTGATCCAAGTAATCAGTCCCATTGGGGTTCCTAAGAACACTGCTATGCGAATTCCTTGAAATACAACTCTGTTGGAAATGACTTCCTGACATATCACATGCACGACGTCGTGAAACTTCTTTCCTACGATTGCTAGCTTTTCTACGAAACTGTGAACATGTTCCTGTACAACTTTCCTCAGTACTTCTCGCTGTTGTTTTACTAGGTACCTAGGGGCGTAGCCTGACTCAAGGCTCTCACTCTCCTGGTTCTCGGTGTTCTGGTCGCCGTTCCTGTTCTCTTCCGTGTAGTACTCGCCGGTCACGCTAACGACGCTGTAGAGCTCGTTCATCACTTGGTTCGCGCACAACAAAGCGTACGGTACCATGACTTTTCCTATCTCCACATAGTCCTTAATCGTGTACGCGTTCGTGTTCCTGATCGTGTTCACGTTGGTGCCGTCGGGGTTCACGCTGCACTCGTTGTAGCCTTGCTGGTAGTACTCGCCGTACACGTCATAGTTCCTGTAGCGGTTCCGGTGCGTATTGGGGTGCGTATTGGGCTTCCTTCTGCTCGACCACACTGCCATGAGCTCGCTCTCGTCACTCTCAACGTACGGTAGTTCCTTTCTCCCACGGCTCGCTTCCTTGGAGGATAAGGCGTCTCCAAGGGCAAGTTCTTCCTTGGTCTCCACTTTGTTGCCAAGGGCCTGCCACGGTCTCACCGCCATACTTCCTGCTCCTGGGACCAAGATCATCCCGCACAAAGTTGCGAGGCTTCCCAGTGCGAAACCAACCAGCAGCACCATACATGCTGCCAAACCGTAGCACTTCATGTTCCTTTTCTCTTTCTCTTCCACCAACACTCGGTCGGGGTAGCAATCGCTGCAAGCGTCAAAGTCTCGCGCGTTTCCTGCTGTCACGTTGTGGTTACGAAGGTGTCCACAACCTCTGCGGTGGTACTTTGTTCCTGAACGGACTGCGATCCTGAGCGTGGGCATGTTGAGCACTGTCTCTGTCTTCTTGGTGATCTGCTCATTCGCGCGCATCTGCTTCCATCCGGCAACGAGGCAAACTGCCATGGCGCCGAGCATCATGGTTCCTATGGCTACGAGTAGCATCATCGCTGCCAAGGAGGTTCCTGGAGGCAGCTCCGCTACCATGTTAAAGAACGGGCTTCACTAAGCTTCCTACTCTCAAACTGAAGCGGTCACTTTTCCTTGTGGGTCACTGTGTCCGCTGGTCTCGAGCCTAGCACGTCGCGTGTGCGCGACGGCTGTTCCTGTACATTAACTGCACTGCACTAACTGTGTTACTGTTCCTGGCAAGATGTTTAACAAAATCTCCTCTCTGCTTCTTTACTCAGCTGGTCGCTATGATCAGCACTCGTATGGGCCTGTGCCTGGACGTGCAACACATTGCTGGCGAAAGGAACACCGAAGCTGACTTACTTTCTCGTTGGGACGGGGTCAGCCAGCTTCCTGATGATTGGAATCTTGATTTCAGATATCGCTTCACTGTCGCTGATTTCTTCGATCTACGTCATGATGTTCGTCTTTTTCCTGCTGAAGCCAAGCTGCTGTGGAAGCTGCCGAGATGAACTGCGCTCTGCGAGGGGCGTCGTCTGATTCCGAAAGATGCTGAGCTTCTTTTCCATAGGTGTTCGTCTCACTTAATTGTGGGGCGTGCATGGCGATTCCTCCACCTATGTCTTGTGCCGTGGTAGTTTTGGGTTGGGCCTTGCTTAAACCTTGAATCCGTATGCTTGTCAGATCTTACTTCTGCGGTTTTCCACCACGGCATAAAACATAGTGCGAAGGGAACGAGTGCGATGTGCCAGTGATATGATTGGTGATTGGAATATTTCATATTCACACTTTTGCGATTCGAGCTGATTGCGTGCTTTGAGATATGGATATCCTTTGAGCTGTTCGCCTGAACTTTTGAGCAATGCTTTTGGGGGAATACAAAATGCGTTTCGTATTTGAACGGCGATCGTGTTTACTCGATCCTGTTTAAATATCAAACCATTTTGTTTTCCTTGCGGTCGGTGTTTTCCAATTTTGTATTCCCTCATTTTGCATGCGGCTTGTCTTGAGATTGGAGCATGGCGATGCATCTCGAATGCTGAAGCTTGGCGGCTCCAGATCGAGCTTCAACTTTTTTCTCCCCACCCACCACTCCCTTTGGTGGTCGACAGCTGTCTCCTTTTGCACAGTCGTGCGGATGCGCAGGTGTTCTCCCGCTGACAATAAGTCGTTGCGGTGGAATCTTTGCGCTTCTCGCTTCAGTATAGTTCACATTTAGCAGTGCATATTCCGTTGGGACATTGTCCCCCGGAAGTTCCCGGGTTAATGCTTGGCCCCATGGGCCTTGCTTAAACCTTGAATCCGTATGCTTGTCAGATCTTACTTCTGCGGTTTTCCACCACGGCATAAAACATAGTGCGAAGGGAACGAGTGCGATGTGCCAGTGATATAATTGGTGATTGGAATATTTCATATTCACACTTTTGCGATTCGAGCTGATTGCGTATGCTTTGAGATATGGATATCCTTTGAGCTGTTCGCCTGAACTTTTGAGCAATGCTTTTGAGGGAATACAAAATGCGTTTCGTATTTGAACAGTGCGAAAAAGGGCTGGACAGGCCGGGTGGAGGCAATGGAAATATCCTCCGACGAGGAGGTAGAGGGGCCACCTGCCCCAAAGGCGACGGGGGTGAGCCTCGTGGACCGGGTCAACAGCTTCAGTTGGACCCCTCCCTACGTTGCCCCAGAGGGGAAATGGTCGAGCCCTCAGGCCTTGAGCCACAACAACCGCAACTATTGCGAGTACTGCATGGTTTGCGGGAAACACGCGACGGAGGCTCATTTGATGTCGGCCAGCCACAATCATCTCATGCAGTCGTGGATCGCGAGGAACCGCCCTGGTTTGAGGCTGCTACCGGACAGGCTTTCGGACCCCGAGAGGGTCGAGATGATGATCCAATTACGTATGCCGGACTTGACCGAGCCCGAGATCAAGAAGGCGAGGGAGCTAGTTCTCCAACCAGCTTGGTTCAGCAACCAACCGGCGAAGGCGGATGTCTCAACTTTGCCGCCACAGGTCGACGCGAAAGCCACAGCGAAATCCAGCAATGCACTTCCTGGAATCTGGGCGGAACCACCAGAGCCTCCACGAGCAGTGGAGCGGCGTGTGCTTCCATCACAGCCGGAGGTGCGGCGTGTGAAAGCCAGGGGACGGCCTTGGCCGGACACTCTGGGAGTCCAGCTGCGGTCGACTCAACAGCTGGAGAAAGCGCAGCCACTATACAGCCTGTCAAGACACCCCCAGGGTGGACGCCCCCAAGTTCGCCTACTACGGATTCGGAGAACTGGGGTGCCTGGACAATCAAGAAGGCGAAGCCAGCACAGGCTGGCAGCGGGGATCAACAACCACAGACCCCACCCAAGGCGGTGGATCCGAAGGGGCTCGGGTCTATGATGCCCAAGACACCGCCCAAGACGGCGCCATTGGTGGCACCTGCGGAGGAGGACACAGAGATGGCCGAGGACACAGGGATGGAGCAAGAAGCGCCATCGCCACCCAACGTGTCGTCGAGTGTGCCGCCTCCGGCACCTCCGCCACCACCGGATTCGGCTCCACCAACATATTCGTGGGTGCCACGCAGCTACCCACCTCCGGGTGCAGTGATGAGTTCGCCCAGCGGCGAGAGTTTATACACGAGGATGAGGCTCGGCATCTGTACGGAGGCAGAAGCAGACTCCTGGAGGGTTGCAGCGGAGATGGCCACAGAATCTCGGCGAGTGCGTCCGCGCACCGCATTGCCGATCCCACCTCCTGCTCCTACCGCGAGCCGGCCTACTTCAAGCCCAACGGGGAGCGCTCTGGGGCCACCACCGGCACCGCCACCGGGTGTGCCACCACCGGCACCTCCAGCGGGAACGCGGGTTATCAACCCGCCGCCACTTCCGCCAAGGAGACCTTCTCGCAGCCCGACCCCGTAATCTTCTCGCAGCTTTCGAAGCCCGACGCCATGAATAATGGCCTTTTTGCTTTGCCAACGCACCGGCATGCATGGAAACATTCTGGAGTGCACGCTTTGTGTGAGTTCTGCGGTCAGCCATGTTCAGTTTTCAGTTCCGCTGCTGTTGTTGCCCCGTTGCAGGAAGAGGACCCCCTCAACCAGAAGAATCACAACAAGGAGCCCGATACGCAACCAGAGGGTCCGGCCGGTTTGGGTTTAGCAGCAGGGCAGGGAGAGCTGATCATGTCACAAGATCCGGAGACACGCCGTGAGCTGCACAAGCGCCTGTCACATGTCTCTCAGGGTCACGTCCCAGTACGAGCTGTGAAGCTTGCAACAGAAGCCGAGGGCTGACGCCAGCCCGCATGCGAAGTGACAGACCCGATAAGGAGTATCAGGTAGATCAGTTCATGTATCGCTCAAGGTGCTTTATCATTCTAGTGCATGTGCTTGCTTTTGCGATTGGAGTGACGTTCCAACCAGAAGGGATGAGTGGACGCGAATCAGCCGGGCATCTCGAGCCGTGGCTAGCCCATTTTGGGTTAGGCCAGAGCGCTGTTCCTAAGCCCTCCTTCTACTCAGACCCGGAACCGCTGACCATCAGCATTGCACAGGCCCTAGCGGAACGGTATGAGGGACACAGTGAAAGCTTTGCTCCGGAGCGCCACGCTCCCGTTGCTGAACGAGCAGTGCGGACCTTGAAAGGAATTGTGTCTTCTCATGAATTACAACTTCGTGAAAATGGTGTTGTCCTCGGGGATGATCCGGGTACTTTAGAGTTTCTTTTCAGATACGCGGCACATGTGCACAATCGCTTTGCAGTGTCGGTCGGGAGCACCATGTCTCCATTGCAGAAGCTGCGGGGCCACGACCACAAGCCCCAGTTGACCTATCCCTTCGGGGCTGTCGTTTTCGCAAAGGTCAGCCGTTCTAGCAAAGAGGAGATTGATTCCAAGTACGCCCGCGGGGTGTACCTGGGTCCTGTGCTTGGTTCTACCGGGCACCAGGTGCGTATCCGGCTGGATTCTGGAGAAACCAAGTTGATTGTTGCGCCGGGTCTGAAGTTGCTCTACCCTCTTCGATATGATGCTTCGTTGCTTGACGGTGCCAGGCCTCTGGAAGGCTTTGTGCCACCTTTGGATGAGGAGCGCTTTCGCGAGCTCCACCTTCCCTATGTGCCGGGAGGGGGACCCTCCAAAGAATGGATCCGCGAGCACGGTGGCACCCCTAAGTGCCCCGGATGCTCCGAAGAGGCCACGTCCTCTCGCCATTCGATAAAGTGCGTCCGGCGCTACCAGCGGTGGCTCCGAGATGCTGTGGACAACGCTCTTGAAGAGCTTGATCGGGACCCTTCGCCCGCTCAAGGCCCACCGGCCAAGCGGGTTCGATTCGGTGATTCAGAAGTTCGTGAGTTTCCGGCGCCCTCGGCGCCCTCAGAGCAAGAAGTAGAAGTACCACAGATCGATGCGGAGGCCAACGACCATCTTAGCGACTACGAGCCCTCGTTGCCCTCCGAGGACGAGGGAGAAGATGATCTGATGGGTGTCGCCGAGGCACCGAAGGATGATCGCCCCGCGATTCGGTTATTGGAGGAAATGTGGGCCTGCGGCTGCGTCCGCTACGTTCCCACTCCCTTGACCGCGTGTGATGTGTATGATTTGCAAGCGTTTTGCTCGTTGCTTGTCGACGGCCGCTCCTCTTGCGATAAGTTGCCGTACTCTTGCATTGCTTTGCTTGGGCATGAGCGTGTGGAGCATGACGTTGGTCGGTCGGGCTTGAGCGTGCCAGTTGGTCGGTCGAGCGGCGACAGCGTGTCGGTTGGTCGGTCGGGCGTGAGCATGTCGGTTGGTCGGTCGGTTGGTCGGTCGGACCTGCCTGCTTGCAATGATCAAGATCAAGAGAAAGAGGGCACATATATGCCCATTGGGGATCGCTGGGTTTGGGTCTCCAGGCCTCGGAGTTCCTACGACGACGTCGATGGAATCCAGCTAGACAACAAAGAGAGCTGGGAAGGAATGAAGACTGAGGTCAAGGCCGTCGACTCTTTGCAAGTCGGCCTCCTTCGTTCCAGGTCTGAGGTTGATCGCTACCAGGAAGAGAACCCAGGGTGCCGCGTGATAAAGTCACGGTGGGTGCTGACGCAGAAAGCCCCAGGGCTTGTCAGGGCACGCCTCGTGGCGAAAGACTTCGCGCACGGCAGACCCTCTGCGCTTGATCTTGGCCTCTCTTCGAACACCGCGAGTGTGGAGGCACTCAAGCTCATACTTTCGAGAGCCGCGAAGGGTCGTATGCGGGTTTGGGGTTTGGACATTTCTACTGCGTTCCTGTTTGCGAACGTTGTTCAACCCAGTGTGGTGGAGCTCCCGAGCTCTTTCTGCCTAGAGGGCGGAGGCACCGCGTACTTGATCCTAGAGAAGGCCTTGTATGGCTTGCGCAGCGCGAGCCTAAGTTGGCAAAGGCACCTCGGTAAGATTATGGTTGGCCTGGGCCTCAAAGCCTCGCCGCTCGAGCCCACGCTCTTTAGTGGATGGGTTCAGCTGGGAAAGAAGTGGACGTATATCATCGCCCTAGCTTATGTGGATGATTTATTGATTGTCTCCGACAGCCAAGAGGGGGTTGAGTTTATCCACAAGTCCCTGAGTGCGGTTCTAAAGGTAAAGGTCACTGGGAGGCTCCATGAAGATGGCCAGCTTGAGTTTTTAGGACGGCTTATCAAGCTAGATGGGAACAACATCACCCTTGGGGTGAAACCTGAGTACGTGCGTTCAGTCTTCTCTGCCTTTGGGTGGACCGAGAAGGCCACAACCCCTGACATTAGGGCTCTATATGATGCTGAGGATCCTGAATCCCCATCGCCCTCTTTGTCTCCGGAAGCCGCGGGTAGGTTCAGGTCCTGCCTTGGGAAGATTGGTTGGTTGACCCAGACGCGCACTGACATCACATATTTCCATTCTATGCTTTCGAGAGGGCAAGCGGCACCAAGGATGGTGCACGAGGATGCGCTAAGGAAATTTCTTCGGTGGTTGGTCGGTTGTCCGTTGCTCGATCAGGTTTTTCCCGCCGGGAGCGGGGAAACTTTGGAAGAAGAGGGTGCCACTTTGGTGGCGTTCTGTGACAGCAACTGGGGCAGTGAAAGTAGCACCGGGAGGAAGAGTACTAGCGGTGGGGTTATCTACGTAGTGGCCGGTTCCCTGTTGTATTGCGTAAAGGGCTGTAATTTGTGCACGTGTGAAGTATCATGTTGTGTGTACGGCATTGTGGCACAAGTGCTCTGAGGGAAAAAGAGTAGATGCCCAATGGTATAACTGCGTTATTCCTCAACACTTGGACGGGTGTACAACAGTGCGTGTGTGCAGTGGTTTACAACAACTATAGGTTATCAGCCGTATAGCCTACGGCCTGGTCACAACTGGTTGGTTACAATACAATCAATCAGCGCATGAGCGAACCGGAACTTATTCCTGCAAATATGGATACGGTTACAAGCACCGCGAACCCTTTTCAGCCCCCGGTCACGGGCGGCCATGCAGGGAGCGGCGCCCCCGGCTTAGTTTTCCCGGCACCAGCCTCAGTCCAACACTTCAACGTCTTCGCACCACAGTATAGTGTCGAAGTACACGTTAACCAAATCAGACTGGAAGTCGGAGAACTAGAGGCTCAGGCAGAAGCTAGACACAGGCAACACATGCTGACCTATCAAGAAGCATCCGCAATTCACACAGCTGACTTGGAGCACAGGGCAGAACGTAACCACCTTGAAGTGGTAGCAGAACTGCAAGCAGCCTTGGCACAGAGCGAGTTCAAGGCGGCAAATCGTGAGAGGCTCCTGTTGTCAGAAATGACTTTAAGTCAGGCGCATTCCTATGACGAAGATCAAAGGTTGCGTCAAGAGCTAGCGGAACTTCAACAAAGCCGAATCACAGACGCATTGGATCAACAACTGGCGGAATCACGCTTTGCACAGAACCTCGAAGAACAGGCAAGACGGCACGTCGAGAATTCCCAGGAAGTCATGGTTGAACAGTTCCAAGCACACTTTGAGTTGTTTAGGAACAGGCAGAAAGAAGAGTATGAGGCGTCCCTTGCCGTATGCAGGGAACAGAACGAAGAGCTTCAGGACAGATTGGATTCTGCGGAAACTGCATTAGAGAAGGTCTTGGATCAGTACAATCCAGCTACTCCAAAGAGTCAGCCAGTGCCTGCTCCAAGTACCCCTGCAGGTCCCTCTGTTTTCCCCAAAGCTCCTCAAGCGCCCATGTTCCCAATGCCGAATGTTATCCCCCAAGGTGCCAGATGTTTGTTCGAGTCAATGAATCCAGGAGGTTTGAATGCTCAGTCCATTCCGTCTGCAACAGCATCTTCAATCCCCAAAGCAGGACCTTCCCAGGCAGCGCCAGGAACAGCGGCCCCTCCAGCGGCCGATTCCGGCACGCCAGGGACGGAGGCTTTCAACACAGGTCTCCTAGAGACCCAAGTGGCAATTCTTCAAAGCCTAAGAACCTTAAGGGGTGAGAGCAAAGGCGATGCTGACAAACCCAAAGCGAAAGAAGCAGAGTCTATCAACCTTCCGGATTTCCCAAGTCCAGAGTCGTATCGTTCATGGAAAACGGCAGCTAGGGAAGCGGTCAGGGCAGCATCAGATTCTCCTGATGAGGCGTTTAAATGGGTGATGAAGGCCTACGACAAAGACGCATCGCAGGAATCCCTTCGAGACCCCGAGAAATTCCTCACCCTTGACACGAAACTTCTTGCTGCACTCACCAAAGTCGCTAGGGGAGAACTCTCCCGAGAAATCCTCATTTTTAAGGAGACAGAGGCGGCGAAATTCAGGGCGGTACGAGGACGACAGGTGCTCTACCTCTTCGATCAGTACTTCAAGACGAACGAGGAGGTTGGCTCACTGTATTCCGTGGAGGACCTGCTGAAAGTAAGGTTAATCAATGACGACCTTTCAGTGTTCATTAGCAACTGGGAATCTGTCATGTCTGGACTTAGCCACACACCGGACGAAACGACCCTAAGAGACATTTTCCTTCGTGAACTCAGGCAGTCCAAGAGGCTAAAGTACGATCTTGAGATTTACGACAGGGCATCAGAGGGCACGGATCAGCACACGTACAGGTTTCTTGTGAAGTCACTTAAGGATCTTTTGACCCGAGAGCGCAAACGCAAGAACCGTGACCGTATCGCAAGATCTCACGGAGATAAGTACGGTGCCCCTGCCTCAAAGTCTCCTGGCCGAACTTCCAGCCCCTCTTCAAGAGGAGGCCGTGGCAGATCGCAGAGCCCAAGGCCAAGATCACCCAGCAAAGGTAGATCCCAGTCTCCCAGCAAGCCTAGGACACCTAGCCCAA